GGGATGTGGAGTAGAGTGTGGGAATGGAGTCAATGGAATTGTAATAGATAAGCATGATATCGGGGGTGAGAGGGCAGTGGATGGGGGTAGGGGAATTGTTACTTTGTGAGGGGTGAAAAGGATAACTATTGCATTGTTTTGTACACCTGAAACTAATAATAAAAAAAAGAAAAATATAGAAAAAAAAGAAAAAAAAGAAATGGCCCCATGGTGTAGAACAGAATAAATATGAGGAATTGCACAGAGGCAGATTCCAGACATTATGAGAAAGAGCTTTAAGAGAATCATGCCATCTAAAAATTTGAGAAAGGAAGTCAGGAAGTAATGAGGTTCTCTAAGCATTGAAGGTGACCTGATGTTCAGATTCTGTATTGAAGATTCAAGAATCCAAAGGGGACTGAACTATGCAATTTCTGAAGTCCTTTTCAGCACTAAGATTCATGGAGCTATAGACAAGTATTATAAATATTTTATTATAGATCCTGGAAAGCACCATTAAGATGATGTGAGTGTGGCTGACTATAATAAAATTCTCAGAAGTCATCATTAGCACACAGATTTCAAAGCCCTCCACCATAATACTGGTGGTAGACTAACCTCAAATGTCTGTTTATTGGAGCCTCATATATGTTATGTCCATGAGTGATGGGATTATTTTTCACAGTGCAGCCCAAATGTTGCATGCCAAGTTGTTTGTTTTCTATAAGGGCCCTTAAACAGGTGATTTAATTATGAAATAATCTCAAAGGTGAAAAGAGAAAATGAAAAAAAAAAGTGTAAATAACATATTTTTCACAATATATTTACCCATATGACATTTACTTAGAAATTAAGCTGCAGATATTTATGTGAAGAGATTTAGTAGAAGGGGAAGGAAAAGGAAAATGAGTCCTAATTCTTCTTGTCTCTACCTCCAGCTCTGATTATATTAGATCATCGCTTGCTCTGTGAACTGGTAGATTGTCAGCCTGATTGTTCCTTCTGTCTTTGTAACTCTCAACAGAGAAAACCTGTTAGCTCAATGACCTGGGGAAATCGCTCAGTGTTGATGGAATTTGTGTTCCTGGCCTATCCCTCCCACCCCGAGCTGCGTGTCTTGTCTTTCCTTGGAGTCAGCCTGGTTTATATATTCATCATCAGTGGGAATGTCCTCATTGTGGTGGCCATCCAGACAGAAGCCCGCCTACACACACCCATGTACTATTTCCTGGGCAGCCTCTCAGGGGTGGAAATATGCTACACTGCTGTGGTGGTGCCTCACATTCTGGCCAACATCCTACAATCCGAGAAGACCATCACCTTGCTGGGTTGTGCCACTCAGATGTTTTTCTTCATCGGATTCGGCAATACTGATTGCTTCATTTTGGCTGTGATGGCCTATGACCGGTATGTTGCTATTTGCCACCCCCTGCAGTACCCTCTCATCATGACTCTAACTCTTTGTGTCCGCTTGGTTATTGTCTCTGTGGTCGTCGGTTTGTTCCTGTCCTCACAGCTGGTGGCCTTCATCTTCTCTCTGCCATTCTGTCGAGCTCGGAATATCGAGCACTTCTTTTGTGATGTGCCACCAGTGATGCGTCTTGTTTGTGCCAACAGCCACATCCATGAGCAGTCAGTGCTGGTGTCAGCCACAGTAGTCATCGCCGTGCCTTTCCTTCTCATTGCCACCTCCTACGCCTTCATTGTGGAGGCTGTGCTCAAGATCCCCTCAGCAGCTGGTCGTCACCGGGCTGTCTCCACCTGCTCTTCCCACCTCACTGTGGTCCTGCTGCAGTATGGCTGTTGTGCTTTCATGTACCTGCGCCCCNAAACATAAAATTATTTTTGTTCCTACTCTATAACTGTAATTTTGCTACTGTTATGAATCGTAATGTAAATATCTTTTTGTTTTCCAATGGTCTTAGGCGACCCCTGTGAAAGGGTCATTTGACCCCCAAAGGGGTCGCGACACACAGGTTGAGAACCGCTGCTCTAGACCCATGCAGAGGGCTTGCCTTTGAATAAATGGGGCACATGGGAGCATACATTCATACTTATAAAACTTTATAAAAATTTATATACACATGACCAGCTAACATTTTTGTCAAGGAATAAGCTAATTTGTTAAGACCTGTATGAGAGTCTCTGCTCAGGAAGGATTAAGCAAAGAAATAAGTCATGAAAAGATGAAACAGTTGATAAATACTCATTAAGGCTCTACTTAGTACACAGCACTATAATAGATCCCATGGGAGCCAGATAAAATATAAAATATGGCCTCAGTTCTCCAGGGCTATAATAATTTGGGACTTGGACTGAACCCAGCTATGATGATCTACTGAGAGTCAACTTCCTGAAACAGAAAGCTCAAATGACCTGATTAGCAAAATTTGTATTTCTCAGGAAGTTATTTTAAGTACTGAGCAGGTTGATAAAGGGTTTAATACTAGCTTTTACTTTGAAAAGAACACCCCAGACTTTCTAGTGACAGGCGATCCCAAGTGGAGAGACAGTTTTAGTTTGGACTAATTATCTGGGAATAGGGGAAGAGGTCAGCAATCACCATACCCCCTTCTTCTGGGAGATAGAACCTCTGAGACAAGACCCTAGATGGCAAAATAATTTATTCCTTTCATGGTTTTTCATTTGGGAAGGTTACATAAAGCTTCAGCTCTACTGAGTAATCTCTCCAGGCTTATGGTCCTCCTTTCTCTATCCATCAGAGCAATCAGATATCATCTACTGGGTCCTGTCTTTTTTTAATATAACTGAGAAGGTTAGCTCAATTCACCCCTCTTTCTTCTAATGCTGAAGGTAAGAGAAAGTCATTTTCTACCTCCTTCTAGTCTCACTACACACCAGGCACTTGCTGATGCTAGAATAGAAAAGCAAGTAATGGCATTACAAGCAGAGACTCCAGGATCTCAGAACTAGTTCAGCCCATGACTTACATGTTCCTCTGAATTCATTTAGAAGGCCTATTCTTCTGATTAAAATGGTAATAACTAATCTCAGTCTATGAA